GGATTGAATAAACTTTGGTTCAAGTCCTACTTCTTCCACTTATTGACTTTGAAACCCCTGGCAAGTCCCTTTATCTGTTCTGACCTCAATTCTTCATAAGGCTTTTGTGAGGATTCAATGAGATCATGCATAAACAGTGCTTAGAACAGTACCTGACACATTCTAGGGCTGCATAAATGATAGTATGTGGTTGTTATTATGATTATGATTAGCCTAAACAGAATATGGAGGAATAAAGTGATTGCTTTTTCGTGTCCGATGCATATTCAGATGAACTATTTTTTAACAGACTTTATTTTTCAGAGCAATAATAGGTTTGCACAAAAATTGTACAGAAACTACAGACAGTTCCTGTGTCGTATTTCTTGCCCTCCTACCCCCATGTCAGTTTCCCCTATTAACATCTTGCATTAGTGCAGTACATTTTTTACAAATGATGAGCTAATGTCGATACATTATTACTGACTAAAGTCCATAGTTTACATTCAAGATCAGACATCATGTTGTACAGTTCTGTTGGTTTCAACAAATGCATAATCCCATGTACTCATTACAGGTCACACAGAACAGTTTCACTGCCCTAGAAATGCCCTGTGTTTCAGCTGTTCACCCTCCTTCCTCACACCCTGCCTCCGGCAACCACTCATCTTTTTACTGTCCCCATAGTTTTTCTTTTCTAAAATGTCGTACAGACTGGCCTCTTTTACCTAGCAATATGCATTTAAGATTCCTTCATGTGTTGTGTGACTTGGTAGTTCATTTATCTTATTGCTGAATAATATTCCATTGTATTGATATGCTACACTTTGTTCATCCATTCACTTATTGAAGAACATCTTGGTTGTTTCCAATTTTTGGTGATTATGGACAAAACTATTGTAAATATTTATGTCCAGGTTTCTGTGTACATAAGTTTTCAACTTGTTTGGGGAAATAGCTATGAGTGCAATTGCTGAGATGAACAATTTTTTTTTAATAATCAGTTTTTTTCTACTGTAAAATCAAAAGTGTTTTTTCTCCCCAAACACTGAAGACTTTAGGCCAAGAGGATTTCAGGCACTGTAGCTGAAAATAGCATCTTAATAGGCAGAGATGCTTTAAAATGAGACAGGAGACAGGGCACTCAAAAATTTTCTAAAAGGCAGCTCCAAGGCTTTCCTAGGAGATCTCTTTTTTGCCCTCGTCCTGCTGTGAGGATAACCTCAGCAAGGCAGCCCACACCAGGGTGAAGAGCCGTGCAGATGGGCTCAGGTCTCTGGAGGCAGGGACTTGGAATTCCTCCTCAGATCAGCCCTCTCTGTCTTTTTCCCCTTCATCCTCCCTGATGACTCCCTCTCCTGCTTTTCCGGCCACCTGCTCCCAACTGGAGCTGCAGGCCCTCAGGACAAGGCACCTGCTGATCCTGGGGCAAGCTCTGCTTTTGGTTGGAGCAGGTGGAGGCCAGGCCAGCTGAGCCCTGGGGTTTGCATGTCAAAGCAATTGACTGTTGAGCAGGTGGCTCTTGGGGAGCCAGGAAGATGTATGTAGACAGCTGGAAGGCTGGCAGCCTGAACTGGAGGCTCAGAAAGGAGATTCTTAGGAGGGATATAGTGGGATCATTAGGAGTGCAGGTCCCAGAACCAGGCATACCACATTTGGTGTGACTTTGAGCAAATTACTGACCTGCCCAGTCTCCTGCTGTATCAAATAGGAGTAACAAGAGTCTCTGGCTTACAGTATTAGTGAAATCACAGGGGGAAGCACAGAGAACAGCACAGAGCATGTTTAAGGGCTTAATAGATGTTCTCTCTTCTTCCCTTCATCATCATTGCTATTATAAATACTGGCATGACCTTAGGAGCCACAAAAAACCAGCCTGTACACAACCACTTTTTCCGAGATCCTGAGAACTGGAAAATGACCTCAGAGGTCATGCAGCCCTTCAGACTCCTTAATTTTTCATTGTAAAAGTGGAGGCTGTGACTTGCCTTAAGGCACAGAGTGAATTCTGTACAGTCATGAGCAAGATTGTGTTGAGTGCTGCTCTGTGCCAGGCACTGCAGGAGGAGCTGGAGAGAGAGAGAGGGTCAAACTGTCTGTTGTTAAGGAGCTCACTCTCTGACAAGGGCGACAAAACACTCACGTCAAGGCAGTAGAAAGACAGGTCCTGTAATGGACACAGGGCTAATGGGATTTGGCCTCTTCTCTGCTGTTTCATTCTCAGGACCCAGCAAGTGTGAAAGTAAAAAAAAAAAAAAAAACAACTAATATTTTCACGTCAAGGTGTCGTGTAGTTGCTGTTGGGCTTAGTAGAAGCTGAACCAGCACAGGTTCAGTCCCCAGTGGGGCTCCTCACCTCAAAACAACAGGGTATTGATATCTGAAGTTGAGATGATACTTTACCTAGTGAAGATAAGACAGTTAAAACTAACCCTTTAAAAAAAACATGGGTTTTGTGACCCTCATTTCTTTGAATGGTTGGTCACCCGGTCCCGTCTTGGCTGCCCCCACCTGCCCTGGACTTACTTGTAACCAAACAGCTGCCAGGAATGCAGTGGATGCTGAAACGGCACAACCTTGCACCTGCCGAGAAAGACAGGTCCGTGGGGTTTCTGTGGTGGTCTTTGTGAAGTGGAGTCTGGGTCCAGAAACAGATCTTGTTAGCGGAAATGACCATCCCTTTGCAGAATTGCTTTTTCTGTAGGACTCAGTGGGAGAATGATCAGAGGAAGAAAGGCATCGTAGTAGAACTGAACCTTTGATTCTTTCTCTGGACAAAATGCCCTTTTTATTGAGGAGCTCAGATCTCAGGGACGAGTCTGACAGCAGGTTCACGTGGGAAGTCTGAACCCCTCAAATCAATTAAGTTAAACCACTTTCCACTCTAGTTTAACCATTCAAAAAGCCATGCAGATGATAAAAAATGAAAGTTTTTTCAATTTCTTAATTGCTAAAGTTCCCCACCCAAAACATCTTAAGGGAAGGTTAATTATGGTGACATGTTAAAGAAACCCCAACCTTCTCAAATGCCTCCTGGAGAAGCTGATGTGAGTTTAATAGGATTTTAATCCAGAGAGTCTTTTGAATACGTGAGGTCTATTCTCCTGCTACCCTCTCTCTTGATGACCTCAAATCCTGCTTCAACCCAACATGAAAGAGCATTAATGTCTTCCATTGATCAATCTACTAATCCTTTTACCTTTCCCTTTGAGTCTTCTGCATGACATTACATTTAGTGGGGGATGGAAAATTCCTAC